TGAGATGAATATACACTTTCCAGATGAAGAAATATAAATGACAGATAAATATGAAAAGATACCCAACATCATTGGTCAGGCAATTTAAAATAACAGTGAGATTCCATCTCACCCCAGAAAGAATGGCTATCATCAAGAAGTCAACCAATAAGAAATGCTGGAGGGGATGTGGGAAAAAGGAACCCATTTCCACTGCTGGTGGGAGAAAACTGGTACAACCAATATAGGAATCAGTGTGGAAAGTCCTCAAAAAACTAGGATTAGAGGTCCCATTCAACCCAGCTATTCCCCTCTGGGTATTTTTCCAGAAGAACTGAAAACATCACACTACGGCAATATATGTGCACCCATGTTTACAGCAGCTCAATTTATCATAGTTAACTCTCGGAAACAACCCAAACGCCCATCAACTGAGGAATGGATAAAAAAGATTTTTATACAATGGAGTATTACCCAGCTATAAAGAAAGACAAACTCTAGGCTTTTATAGGTAAATGGATGTAACTAGAGACCATACTCATAAGTGAAATAAATCAGACCTGCATGTGTAAACACTGTATTGTCTTTGTAGTATAAGAACCTGAAAAAGTAAATAAAATCTGAAAGGTAAAATAGATACTGTGAAGGGGAAAGAAATTGTTTAAAGGGAAGGAACAACTGGGATGAGGGAAAGGAGAAAAGGAGGGAAAAAATACATGTATGTTCACAGGATAGCTTGGCTAATTGTATTGCTGATTTCTGTTGGTCTATTGAAAGGAATAGTTTATGCTTAAATTTTTTTCTTAATTTTTAAGAAAAAATTTATTAATTAAAAAAAATTTGGATCAATTTTGCATGCCTTTGTCTGATAACCTAACAACTGATTTGAAGACAATATATAACAACACTGTTGAATTTCTATTATTTTGTTTAGTGAAATTCTGTATTGTTTCTAATTTTTACTATTTTTTATTGTCTTTAAAAAAAAAAGGGAGTTGGGATGTAAAGGAAACATTACAAGCGCACACCAGGTTGCCAATATCCTTGTACTTTCACCATTTTCTAATTGCTTGATGCGTACTACCTAGGCTACTTTCTCTACCATTGTTACCTGCTTTGCTGCAATTTCTTCATCTCGCCCATCTCCAATCACTACATATGTGACTTTCTTTCCAAACCTTGACACAATTCTCTCAAAGCAGCTCTCTTTACCTGATAAGAAAAATAATTTTTCTGTTAGGATATTCTTCTCCCATTTTTTCCCCCAGTAATACTGAAGAAAAGGACTGCTGCTAGGTTTACCATCTATACTCAGACAAGTGGCAGCCTATGTAGTTGCTTGGTGTGGAGTTAGGGGTGGTGACCAGAGAATCAAGTGAGTATGAAATTGTGCCATTATGACAGCAACCTGTTAAAACTTTCACGTTGAGGAGGAAGTCCTTATTAAGAAATAACCTGGCATAAGGTTATTTCTTAAAGTGGGAGGCAATGGGACTATACTGCATGAGAGCTGTGAACATTACTTCCTTCTACAGTACTGCCACCTGCTGGAAATTGATTGTAACACATACAAAGACTAAGGAATAGCAAATCCAAGACCCGAGCACTTTCACAGATGGGGTGGACCTCAAATTATGAGCATTCTTGGATGCAAAGAAATCGTAGAAGTAGCTCACATGTCCAGCACACAGTCACAGTTGTGCTGCTGTGTGCGACAGTATACAGTAGGACAGTACTCAGTCAGAGTCCAGGATGTCTGGCAGCAAGAGGAAAAGCAGTCCTGGTGTGGAGGACTGGTAGGAAGTGCAAAGCAATGGTCATGGAGATGAAAGCGAAAACCAATCAGACTGGATGGGGCAAAAGGGCTTTAGATGTCACTCTATCATCTCCCCTCCCTCCTCCAGTTTGTCTGTCTGCCTGTCTCTCCTCTCTCTTTTTTGTTTTTTTTTTT